GGTACCAAGTAATGGCCAGGCAAGTATTGCTGTTATCGATACTTTTTAGGTATTTTATTTCTAGTTTATTCAAGAGGTTTTTGCTTTTGCCACAGTATTTCATCCTCTTTGCACAGACATCACACACAGCATATTATCTTCACAGCTAAAATTCAGCCAGACATTACTCCTTTTACGGTCAGCCAAAGTCAGCTTTCAGATTAAGGGCTGCAGTGGTTCACTTCAAATAAGCTACGTCACAGAGCCATAGTAGACACAAGACTTTTGACAGGTGGAAGGAGAAGTAGTTCCTAAAGTAATTCCTATCAACCGGGTATAATTAGATCATCCTGGTGACAGCAAGTTGCGTATGATAAAATGCACACTCATTCCAAATTTCTAAGTTTATATATCACTCCTTTTTTGTGAGTATTGATGCTAGACTACAAAACGTTGGGATCAGTAATATCGATATAGTATCGATACGCACATCACTAGTAAGGAACGATATGGACACAGTCGTAGTTGAGCTTGATAGAGGTAGGGTAGGCTAAAACCTTGCACCGCATGCCTTTGGGAGGAAGTCCCCTTGTGTATCTTTATCATATAAAAGTGGATATTGATGCAATACAAGACAAAGTGATTTTGGAATTGTCTACCTGTAGGTCTGCTTGGTATATATTCCCCCCCCCCCCCCCCCCCCAATACATATAGTCAGGTTTATGTTGCTTTTAGCTTTGACTTTGAGGAGCGTCCTGTGCCGATGGCCTTACGTTGATGGTAGTTTATTGGTTATTGTGAGAATAAATGTACTAAATTTCAATCTTGTAATCCTATTTTTGTGGGTTTTTTCAGTCCTAAACACAAATATGTGGATACATTTTTCAAGATCATAATTTCAATATATGATCATCGCCTGTGAAAACCATGTATCTCCTAAATGTTAACTTTTCAAGAGCCATGAAAAACAGTTATCCACTTTGATGGTGCATTTTTCCAATAATCCTGTGGGTTTTTAAATTGTTTATTTAGCTTGATAAGTAGGGGAATTTTCTCCACCAACAAAGGCACAGCTAATCCTTCAGTTTATCTGAAAATAATCAGTCGTCAAATTTGTAGCTGCATGGTTTTAATTGTTTAGCATTAAGACTATAACACTGTATATATGATTCTTTCATATTGTTTGTAAAAAAAAATTGTATTTTTTGCAGCAATTTGTTAGTTGAAATTGATTTCAGTTTAACTGAAATCAATGTAGTTAGGTGTTTGCCAGGCTGCTCACTGAACTGGTTTCAGGTTTGAAACCCCATTTTTATCGATGGCTTTAGTTTAGATCAATGGGCAGCAAATGTAAGTGGCCACACATGAAAGTCAGTTATTCTCTTTGAGGTAACACACACAGCATGGGCCGCTAGCACTACTATCTGAGTGGCTCAGCATGTGGTGAGGCTGATGTGTCACTGTGCCATTTAGCCCATCACTTAGCTCAGTGTGTGTGAGCCTTAGTGTGTCTGTCTGTCTGTTTGTCTGGTACATAGTGTGCGTCCACACCTGTGGCTGGGACTGCTCCCCTTAATCAAACCTAATGAAGAACATTGATTCATCTCCATTTGATTCACACTTTTAGACAGGAACACATATACACGTACGCAAACAAATGCAAGACACCCTACCACTAGTTGTGAGACCAACACTTCGTCTCCCTCCAAGGGAGAAATGCTGATCTTGTCTAATGTTGCTGTAGTGTTATCAGCTCTGCATATAATGCTCCACTTAACCACATGTGGAGAAGTTTTAAGGAGGGACGAAGTGACATTGGGGAACTGAAGAAAAAGTGGAGAGAGGAGGGAGAGAGAGCATATTGGCCGGAGAGAGATGTGTCAAGGCGAGAGATCTGGAGATTGTTAGTGAACGGAGCAGCCATGCACGTTTTCCTAAGAAGCACGAGTAGGTCAGACATCCCAAGATTCCCTGCATTCTGGTCCCAGCTCTGGGGTGGAGGAAGCTGTTTACTCTTTCTATCTCTCACTGCTGACGTCGGCGCACCGAACAATGTCATCCAATTTCCTGTTTTTCACTTTAGTGGAAAGCCACTCTCCCAGTGTGTGTGTGTGTGTGTGTGTGTGAGTGAGACAAAAAAGCTGGTGGGCTGGAAGGTGAGGAGAAGGAGGAGGAGGAGATCTATAGGGCCGGATAAACTGGGAGCAGGATATAGGGTCAGAGACAACTCCGCTATGTAAATACATTAGGTGTATTGAATGAGAGTAGCAGGAGACTGCATACTGTCCTGAATGCTGCTTGAGATGACTGTAGACACCTAGCATCTCTGATGTGCTCAGAAAGGTTTTATGTCACATCCAGCATTTAGGGCCCCTTAGAGTGCCCAAAGTCTCCAGGTTCACTATGTGGCAGTTGGTTTGTTGTAATTATATTCAGGGATTTCGTTGTTAACCGAATATGTCTGATGGGTATTAGCGCAGATACTGAATTCATTTAATCACTGTGTGCCGTTGACTCACCGTTTAGTACCACAGCATCACTAGCACGTAAAAAAACATTCCAATGAGTTTCTCACAGATTAGCATACATATTTAAAATTTGGGGAAAAGAGAGCACTAGTATCGGCTTGTTACTTATTTTTCATCAGATATTCTGAGTAGAGGAATTGGATTTAGGAAAGAAAATGGTTGATCATTGCACTCTAAACTAGATTAACTGTAAATTAGTTTGCCGATACTGTATACTCCACCTAAAACAAAATAAAAAAACAGGACTGATAAGGGCCTTAAAGGGAAGGCTCAAATTTTTTAATGTATTTATAGGCATGTGAATATTGTTTTAAGACAGAAACATGTGAACCTATCCTTTCAAGACAACACCTGCACAATTATCTAAGTTAGAATCTAGCTGAGAGGTCTTATTTAGGTTTATTTTGTGCTTACTTGGTGCACATTCCTAAATATATTTTTGCCAAATTACCACAAACCTATTACTAATTCCAAACTTCATGCATATACTCAGTTACCAGTTTATTAGATATAGCTTGGTAAAAGCAGGGCTGTGCTTCAGCCCTGCAATAAATACTACCTTCAGGAAGTTTATAATGTTCAGTTTTTGTTGAAGCTGTTTTAAAGAGGTGATGATTTTACTCTTCCCTCTTGATGTAAATGAGTTGGACATAATATTAAAAACATCTCTGTGCTGCATCAGTATGATGCAGCACAATTTAACAGCACTACAAACATACATCCTCCAAAATTTCCATACAGTTGATTCAACACCTCTCTAAAATGGGTCCATACAAAAAGTGTACAAACATTATAACCTTTCTGAAGGTAGGATTTATTGCAGGACTGTTGTGTTAGACTATATTAGTTTTTGCTAGGCATCTTAATAAACTGGCAACTGGGTGTATGTACACAATGCACAGAGGTTGAGTGAAGCAGCAAGGTCAGTAAGGACCCATAGCAAATTTTTGTCCCAGAGTTCTGCAAGGGGTCATTTGGCCCTGGTAGCTAGGAATTTTTAGAAGCTACAAATGCAATGGGGTTAGTTGATATGGTTGAAATCATTAAAGTTAACAAGTATATTTTCCAAATTCCAGTGATCCCTGTGTGACCGGTACAACACAGCAGCATACAACAAGAGGGCGTGACATGGATTACGTAGGCATACACACCATGTCCGCACTCCTTGCTCGCCTGGCCTACATGCTCACTGACTTCCCCTGCTTTGTTTGTCTCTGGTTGAGTCCCAGCATGATGTCTGTGGGATGCAAATGCTTGGCTGAGTGATTTATTGTAGTGTGTGTACTGTACAAGAGACGCATGTTGCCCAAAGAAGCTGGCAGCGTGGCTCAACGCTCTGTGTGTGTGTGTGTGTGTGTGTGGATATTCGAGTTACACAACCTCCGCTGCAGTTGCATTGGATGTGTCCATGTCAGTTAGAGACGGAAGTCTCCCTGGATGGAGACACAGCGCTGCTTAACGCTCTTGTTAGGCCTTAGCTAGCTGGAGGCTTTGTGGCCAAACTCCATACGTCAAGACCCTGACTTCAACTAGCGGCCGGCGCGGCCACCATCTGTGACATTAACTAAGCCGTAGTCTGTAGAAGAGAGAATGTTTTGTTTCACATCCACAGGAAAATGAATGAGTGATTCAAGTCTCTAATCAAAATTAATAAAGCTGAGGACTGAATTATTTGTTCTGACACACATGGTCAGAGTAATTGAAATCATATCTGACAACAGGAAAACTAGGTCTTGTTTCCCTCTTAGAAAAGCATGAGTTTGTGGCATTACCATATGTTAGTCCCTAATGTAAAGGCACATACACACACACAGAAACACACATTAACAAACACATGCATACTGTCTCTCCAGTACACATGAGCCCATCATACGACCAGGTCCTCGTGTCTGTGAAAGATCAGATGATCACAAAGCATCAACTTGTAGCAATCCCGATGCCACACTCCTTGTTTGCGGGCAACAAACGGCCTAGTGTCACGATGACGTCGATTTGGCTACAACCGAGGGCTAATCAGCTTTTTTTCTCCCCCCTTTGTTGTTTCATGGAGCTTTCAAAAGGCTTACAATTTAGCAAGAAGTGATTTACTGCTGCCCGGCATGCTCTAAAATTCCTCTCTGTATTCATCCTCACATGTGTAGATTGTTTACGGAGAAGAGGAATTCTAGAGGGATGACGGTCCGCAAGGGGCTCTGTTGCTATGGTTACAAACCCCTGAGCTGGGTTCCATTTAGCAGGAAGGAAGCTAAATTATTTGCAGACAGAAAAGAGTAAGCTCATGTAGGGAAAGAGTAATGAGTTGAAAACCTGTCTGTGTGGACTTTTTTCACAGATTTACTCTTTCAGTTATTTTAGAAATCAGGGGATTGAATTACAAAGCATTTGTTTTTGATGATTCAAGTCAACAAAACACAAACATGAAATAACTGAGAAAATATCACATTTATGAAATCATTTTTTTCTAATCTTTGTATTCTTCTTGTTATCTTTCAGACCGCATTAACAGAGGTGCAATTTGGACCAATGAAGTTATTTAAAGACCCACTTCAGGTATTGTAAAACAGTGCCAAACATCTGAATGATTGATGCTTATGTGCTTGAACGCATTCAGGCTTTCCACGGAACAACAGAAGTGCTCCAATGAAATGTTTATGTCTCTATCATTTAGGTGGCTTTTAGCTGAGCCGCGGAGCTAAACTTGGTGTGACTGTCAATATTTGGTAGCATTTTTCTCGGATTAGTATTTCAAAACGTCACCCACTTTTGTTTGCAGTTAGAACTAATCTTGAATTTCTCAACGATACCACACCTCGCTAAGAGATTAAAGGAAGAAAAAAGTCCCCATGCAAACATTCGAAGAAGAAGAGGAAGGGAAAAAAAACTGTTAATGGACGTATTGTGTGTGATGCAGTCTTCGGTTGTCAAGGCAGCAAGGCCAAACATTTATGACGAAGAACATACCATAATGAACAATGCATGTTATGGAAGAACTGCACAGAGGATCCATGGACCAGTTTCGTCACTGCAAATAGGACGTTCAATGGTTCATTATACAGTTTGTTACTGTGCTCGTTCTTTGGCATGCATTGCTGCTGTTGTGTGAAAACTTGGAGTCTTTGAAAAATTCCTTTTAAGAATTTAAATGTATTTTGAAACTGTGCAAAATTTGGTTTCATCTTGGTTTCAAGGGTGAATGGCAGAGGTGAAAATTAATCATCAGCTATTTTGATAATCGATTAATTCAATTATTTATTTTTCAAGCAAATACGCCAACATTTGCTGGTTCCAACCGCCCAAATGTGAGGTGTAGCCGCTTTTCTTTCTCAGATATTGGATTTAACTGAACACTTTGGGTTTTGGACTGTTGGTCAAACAAAACAGGACATCCATCCATCCATCCATCCATCCATCCATCCATTCATCCAACGTCAACCGCTTATCCTACGTACAGGGTCGCGGGGGGCTGGAGCCTATCCCAGCTGACATCGGTCGAAAAGCGGGGTACACTCTGGACAGGTCGCCAGACCATCGCAGACAAAATAGGACATTTGAAAGAGAAATTCTTATGGGCATCAAAACAATCATCATGAAAATAATTGTAAGTTGCAGCCCTGGTGTATAGCTCCTTCAAGTCAAATACAAATTTTTATTAGCAACAAAACGCAACAACTGCTAAACTTAGTACATCAATGACGATATGAAGTCAGTGAGGGCCAAAGAAAAGCAATACAAAAGCAATACAGTAGACGTCCTGTAATTTAATGCCATGTATGAGTGCACAGATTCGGCTTTATTGTCTGATGCACTCCAGTGTGGCCACAGTAGGAAAATGAGGTAGAGAGATATCCCCTTCCTGTTTTTGTCACTCACAGCTGATCCTGCCATGCCCTCCTCATCTCTACTCCTCCTCTTTTTTCGCAGCTCACAGGATCTGGCCAGGCCCTCTCTGTTTTCAACAATGTTTTCTAGATAGAGCGAACAGACACTGCCAAAATTCTTGCTACCCCCTTCAAACTATTTTTTTTCCTCCTCTTGCTGTCTTTCTCACTGATTCTTTCTCTGCCTTTTCCATCTGTTTCTGTGGAGCATAAACAGTGTATCCCCCCTAAAAAAAAAAGCTGCTTTGAGAGATTTATTTTTTGTCTGTTGCGACTGGGTGTGTTACTACTGAGCTGGCCGTATCTGTCTAGTCTGAACACAGGCATCTGAATAGACCTTATCTCAGCCTATATTACCCCGTTCCTCCAGTTCTGCAGGAATGTCGACTTTTCTACCAACATCCCAATGTGGAATTCTGATCTAATTCCGTGTGCGTACCAAACATAGCTGCAGGACTCCGTGATGATGTATTTATGACCTGGACACTTATTGCTGCTTGTAGGGAAAATGTTCATATGTGGAATATGGTTGGGTGTAGGGGTTCTGTGCTTCAGGCCTAAAGCCTCACCGCCAGAATGAATCAAGAGGACAACTGTCAAAACAACCAATCCTCTATCCCGTAATTGTGTGGAGGACAGTAGTTCTAGTTTTCTCAACAAAGTCACGTCTTTGTGCCCTAACTTAATTTTACAGGTGTGATGCAAACTGCAGAACAAACATTCCCTTCTTTACGTTCATTTTGCTCTCTGCCAACAGTTAGAGATGACGTCTGTTTGAGAGTGTGACTCATGAATCTACTCTTAGTGCAGCACTGCTCTTGGAGGCAGGCCTAAATCTCTGGTCCAGTATTTACGCAAGTAAGAGGTTATATGAAAGTATGCTGGCAGAGAGAGAGTGTGCTCTCAATGGCTGGTTTGACGGTAGCAGCAGCACTTTCTGCCACAGCCTTGGCAGACCGGTGGGAGGGGCCACAGCCAGTCAAGGCCACCTCAACTAATTGTGTCATAGATCATGGCAGCAGACAATAAAATCTCTGACGCACTACAGTGCGAGCTGAGCCTGATCAATCAGGGCCTGTCCAGTGGAGGCCTGAGCTCACAGTCTAGCCCGCACTGCAGGTTGATTAGGATGACAGGCGCAAATAGCATGAGTGCACCAATGATTTGACAACTCAGAGCTGTTGATACACTGATTCATCAAAACCACATTTTTACTGTAACTTTCTCTTGATGAACTGAAAGCAGGTTGGAGGGAGAACATTTATGATTAGTTTAGATTAGACCGGTTTTCCTAATCAAATCAAAGTTTCATATCATTCAGCCCTGTAACTCTATTAATGTTTTACAATAATAAAAGTTAGTTAGTCGAAGTACTTTACACCTACTAAAGGACTGCACACTTTGTTTTGCATGTCTTGCCAAAATGATGTGTACTTTACATTATGATTAATCTTGAAACGATGTGTTAATTAATTGATTACTTAATTTGCAACAGTTATTTATCAAACAAAAATATCAAAATAAGTAGGTCCCATTTCTCAAATGTGAGGATTTGCTGGCTATCTCTGTTCCTGACTTTATGGACCACTTCACTTCATCTTTAAAAGCACTTCGTAATGCTTGTTTGTATATACCTGCTCAAATGTAAGATTTTTCTGATGTTTGTTTGTAATCCTTATTTTGCTGTGTTCTTTATCCAGTTTATATTTAAATATGATCTCTTATGTATTGTTAAGTATTTAAATAAGTAATATATATATGGATAATAGCAGTATGACATTACAAGAGGTAACTTAATAAAACAAATTACTCAGTTGGATATATATCCTGTATGCCATCTCTCTTTTTGCAGGTACTTTTAGTTTTTGCCAAAGAGGACAGTCAAAGTAATGGCTTCTGTTGGGCATGTGAGAAGGCCAACTTCAGGTGCAGCATGGCACGAACACCAGAGTCGGCTCTTGAATGCTTCTTGGAGAAGCATCATGACCTCGTCATCATTGACCACAGACATTCCAGACACTTTGACGCCGAAGCACTATGCCGGTAGGACAGTTCTCTCATCATCAGTGGGCTTGTATTTCTAGGATGTTAGGTAGTTTTGGTGGTACCCAGCAATTTTTTGTTTGGTGTTCCCCACCGCCCTGTCAGATGAACTCAAATAGCCCATTAACACCTGTCATGTTCCAAATGTGGAACATTTGGATCATAACAGGTGTTTGATATTATTTTAAGATGGATTCTATTTAAGACTATTAATTATATACAAGTGTATATTGTTAAAATTATGTTTTCATACAATTGAACTATCAGTGTTTAGATGTTTGCATTCATATTACCACTGGAGTGGTCAAAGCATTTATAACCATTTATCCATTACTTCTATTTCAGCCATTATTCCATTAGTTTTAGCTTGACCTTTTTAAATCAATTTGTAAATACTATTTTTTTCAAATGAATTGAGCTACTCCACAATTTTTCTTTGCCCCCCCTGGCAACTGCTGAAGTACTCTGTGCTCCTAGTTGGGAATCACTGATGTAGTGGACACAGTTGAATTGAATTTGAATTCTAATAGTGACTGCCATCAACGACCAAAGACATAACCCAGACTAGATGATCTTGATAGGACCAATTATAGCATGCATGTTTCATGTGTTACAGTAGATTTAGTAGCACGTGTGGTTATGACTCTGTGGGAGTAAATGGCCAGCTTGCCTTGCACTCACCAGCTTCTATCGCATGCTACATAGTGGAGTCATGTCAACGAAAAATGAGCGGTGCCTTCCCATACCACCCTCTATCTTTAGCCTCTGCCCAAACCAAAAACACATTTACAAACATTCATTTGCCCTGCCAGTGTGTATGTTAACCCTATTCATTTTGGCCAATCCATATGTTCAGTGTACACGCACAGGCTCTGATGGGGAACTAAAGGGCCTTTATGACCACTGGCTGGGGAAAACCACAGGCCGATGAGTGGCCCTGTACACTGCATTCTTTCAGAGACCTAGGCCTGCTCACAGAGCTCCTCCACTGGGCTCTGCCTGCCTGGGAGAATCGGAGCGTGAAAAACTGAAAAATACATTGATTTGATGCCATGGGCTTTTCCACCAGCCTGCTCACTGGCTAAAAGGCTCTCTCTGTTTACATTCAGGTCAATTAGAGCGGCCAACTCTTCAGACAACACTGTGATAGTCGCCGTTGTAAAAAGGTACGTACAACTCGCTGAACCCCCTTCCCCTTCTTGTCCTTTTCCTCACTGTATTTTTAAGCAGCTAACTTTTAGGAGTGTGGTCAGAATTAAAATGCCTGACTCAGCGGAGGTCTCTAGCCCCGCAGCTTGTCCTATGTTCTCTAAACAAACATTTGTTATTGCAATGCTTACATGTGTTCTATTTTAAGGCCAGACAGAGAGGAAGCCTCTGTGATGCCCCTGATCAATGCTGGCTTTAATAGGGTGAGCAACATTGTGTGGGAATGTGTCTTCTGCTGGCTGTATTTGTATTATTCTTTTGATATGTATTTTATATCCCAACTGTCAACACTCAGCAGTGTCAGACAAGAATACAGATTGTAAATCCTTGTTGTTTGCTTAGTAGACTATGTGTATCGAGTTCCCTATACCTGAATCATTGTTACTCATAGCATTATCAGCATTATAACATATTTTATAACACATCAATATGGAAATGAAATTTAAGATGTCTATGATTGATCTGTGTTGCACTCTGACCTCCAGAGATATGTGGAGAATGCCAATATGATGGCCTGCTATAATGAGCTGCTACAGTTGGAGCATGGAGAGGTGCGGGCTCAGTTCAAACTGAGGTTAGTTGTATACTATACACAATGCTGTAGTTACATTTTAAATTAATTACAAAATACCCTTATTCAAAGCTGCTGCACTGACAGCAAGACATTATAAAGATTATCCACTTTTTAATTTAATTAAAATATAAATAGATGCTGGACATTCTGCTTGTTGCACAAGTTAATGATTCTGATTCACTTGTCTCTCTCTCTGCCTATACAAGGGCTGCAAATGCTATTTTCACAGCTCTAGAACAAAGCCAAGAGGCCATAGAGATCACTTCTGAGGATCAAGTAATTCAGGTGGGTTTCTAATCAACTCAAATACTTATAACTGCTTTATTGTGACGAACAATTCATCTATCTGTCTACCTTCTTGTCCTCCTCCTCCTCTTGCTTTCTCTCTCCTTCTCTCCTGTTTTAGTGCCTGTTCATGTCTTGTGATCCCAGTTCTCAGTAGTGATTGTTGCGGTCTCTGCCCCTCTGAATGCCTCCTTTTGTTAACGTCAAAGCACTGTAGCCTGTGTTATCGCGTTATGTTTTCACATAAAATATGTATTTTGAGTTTTTTGAAATCGGCAACGATTTTGTCAGCTTTTCTAAGTACATGGTGTTTTGTTTGGCAAGGTTCATATGTCGTTAGAGGTCATCATCTTAATTTTGTCTAAACTTACTGTGGAAATTAATGAACAGTAGATCGCCATCTCAGATCAAGTCTAAACACCCTTGTTACCTCTCCTTTACAGTACGTGAATCCTGCCTATGAGTCCATTATGGGCTACCAACGAGGCGAGCTAATAGGGAAGGAAATAATAGAAGTGCCTAAAAGTGAGAAGAATAAGCCTGATCTCCTTGAAACAATAAATTCCTGCATACGGAAAGGAAAGGTAATATGCATTCATGAAATCATCTCATCTACACTATACATTTCAGGCCACTCAACCTCACCAAGAAATAAATGATCACCTTGTGATTGCTGATACACGATATATACATAGTGGCATGTAATATAGTTGTCATTGTAGACTATCGCATCTCATGTCTTTCTTATATTTTCCACTTACTATGTTTATTGTTATGCACCAAAATGCCAAAGCAAATTCCTTTTTTATGTGTAAACCTACTTGGCAATAAAGCTGATTCTGACACTTAGATCATTCTTGTAAATTATGTTCATCTGCTCCTGCTCCTTTGTGTCTGTGCGTGCATGCGTGCACATGCATCCATGTGTGCTGTAAATTTGCACCACTGGCCATCCAGCAGCTCTGTTTCATGTGCATAAGAACAGCGGTTGATGGCTGTGCTGTAATCTTACTACACAGAGAGCGAAGGTCAGTCCCAGACAGGCTAACAGCAGGATGGGCCTTTTTAAGCTGCCATAGCAGTCTATAGGTGGGGGGACATGAAACAAGCACACCGGACTCCAGGAGCGCTTCCCCTACCCATTAAAGTAACTTGCTGCTCTCTGAAATACTCTGACGCACACCATCCCCCGACCTAACCTGCACCACAGACACCGCCATGCTACACCCAGTCCACACCACAGTCCACATTTTCAAATCTTATATTTTATCCGTTTTTACATTGAATGGTTCCTAAATATGTTCCTATGTCTTTAAATTATGTGTCTGTATGTTTCATTTCCTCTGTCTCTGTTCTGGCCTATGATGTTTTAGGAGTGGCAGGGGATTTATTATGCCAAAAAGAAGAATGGAGACAGCATTCAGCAAAATGTGAAGATCACACCTGTAATTGGACAGGGAGGGTAAGTGACAGTATGTTGAGGCCTGGCTGATTCAGTCTTGCTAAATGTAATTTACAATAAGTGAGTAGTTATACTGGAAAAATATATGAATGCATAATACTTCCCTGATGTACTAATTGGCTTTTGTAATTCACAGAAAAATCAGACACTATGTGTCTATCAACTGGCCTTTAAATGATAATAATAAGGTTTGTTTCCAGTTTTTCTGATTTAATAATGAATGAAAAGAGCTTTCTGGTCTGCATTTACCAATACACTTTTTTCCTCTGTCCATGCAGAGTGATAAAACCAGTGTGCAGGCAGAGTCTCAAACAGGTAAGAGATATCCTAAAATTCTCTCTGCTCAATAAGTGTAAGTGCAAGATTTTATTATGCTAAACCACTCAAACGACTGTGGAGTCATGCAGATTTGAGCAGTTCAGGTTCTCTCTGCTGGGCAATTATTAGCATTAGTGAAGGAAGTTCTTTCCATGTCACTTGTAATCTGTCACAAGATTTGACGATCTGAGGGCCAGCAATGTGGTTGTTTTTAGGAAGCATAATTTAATTCCATTGTTACACAGATGATACACTGTGCTTATTTTAACTGATTGTTGGCAAACACCAAATATTTGTTATATGTTTAACAATGAATTGGAGATAGTCCCAACCTGAACTTTGTAAACTGAAAAACTTTGGAAATATGTCAGCAAATGTATTGCACCATTCCAGAAAATCATTGTTTATTTTAATCGTGACCCAAATTTTAAACAGTAGACTAACAGAGTGCCCAATCCTGCTTTATCTAGCTGAGAAATATCTCAAAAGAAATGAATTCTGTCTTTTGTTGACCTTGAAAAAGTTATCCATGCTTTTATTTCCTCTAAACTGGACTATTGTTCCTTGCTGTATTGTGGTATCAACTGTAAAGCCAGTTCACAGCTGCAAGTGATTTCAAAATGAAGCAGCTAGGCTCCTGACAGGCAAATAAAACAGGGATCATATCTCTCCTGTGTTGGCGTCCTTTCACCAGCTCACTGAAAAGAAGTGACTTTGAAAGTTTGTTTATGAAGCTTTGCATGGTCTTACAGCACAATATATTTCACAGTAACTCTTATCCAACACCCCTACATCCCCTAGGTGTTCTGATTAGGGGCTCTAAAGGTTGATTTCTTCTAATGTTGTGGTACAACCCAACCAAAAGTTTTCAGTCAGCATAGTAATTTATCAATTTGAAAAAAAAAATTATTAAAAGCTTGCGTTTTTTCTATGCCATCATCATCTTAGACTTTTTGTTTATATATTGTTGACATTTTAGGTGTGTTTTTGCGTCATTTCAAACTAAAATATAAACTTTGACCATGGCAGAACTGTCTACTCATGCAAAAAAAGTTTCCTGCCCAATTCTGTGGCTTTCTTTCACTTTATACTGTGTCCCCAAAAAACAACCATAATTACAGTAAAAATCCCTTTGAATAAAATTACACACAGAATTTGTTGTATTGGTCTAATCTAAGGCAGAAACACTTTTGAAACAAAGGTGCAAATTTGTGGAGGTCAAGAAAA